GCACTTTTTACCTACATGATAGATGTTATCTTTCCGAACTATAATATAATTTACGATTAATCAATATTTATATTCTGAATTGAATACCTCCATCTTTTCTTTCACTTTGCTTCATCACACCTGTCTTCTGTGAACTATGAAATCGATCTTAATTTATAACCGTCATCAAATGTGCCATTCTCTCAATGCGACGAGCAGGATAATTGTAACGGAATTATATAATTAGATCTTCCGAAGCATTCGTTAAACAATGTCAAATTTCACTTTCAAAATTCTTGACCAACAATCCGATCCTCACTAGCCGCCGATCGCACGAAACACCGATTGTCGAACATGAAGTACGAGTTACGATTCGCGGTCCGAAGTGACGGAACAAAAATGAAAGGGAGAACGGACGGTGCGGCAAAAAAAGGGCCAGCTCTCGGACCTGCGGAGACACGGTGGCCACCGAGTCGCTCGAACGATGTCAGCAGTTTAATCAATGCATTTAGCCGAATTCCCGTCTGGCCCAAATAAAAGGCGAGACAGGAGAAGATTAAACGCAAAAAACGCTGTGCGCGCGACGAGTCTCGTTCGGCCCTCTCTCGGCTTCTTTTCACCGTGCTGCAAACTTTTGGGACCTCTATGACAAGCCTCATGGTCCCTCCTTGATGTCCCGAAACTCCCAAAGTCGTTAGGTATTCTGTGAGCGTACATTGCTGTCCTCCTCTTTGTCCCCCTCTTCGTCGTATCCTCGCGGGAGGAACTCTTCTCTTCGAATAACATACGTCAGCCATGAAGACGACTACGAGACGAAAACCGGTGGCTCCACAAATCTTCGAGTTGGCCTTTTCATTCACTGTTTCTTCTTCTTACGTCCTTCCGAAACTGTCCGTTACAGAATACTGTCTCGCCGCGCGACGTTATCTATTCGTTTTATTCTTCGTAATTTCTCCTATTAATGTTTGGCATTTTCAATAACGAAATTAAGAAGATTTAATCTTTTTAATTAAACTTCGATATTATTCAAAATTTTTTTTTAGTAAACTCAGTGGTTCCTACTTTCGTCATTAATAATTTTGTTCAACGCTAAAGATTCCATAAGAAGTTAATATTTAGAAAATCTTTTTGTCTCGTTTTTAAATATTAAATATTTTGCATATTTAGCGCTATAAATATAAATGTTTTGTACATATCTGAAGCATAACTACATATTCGAGTCATTGATAGTCAACGAGTCGAGCATCCTGTCCGAATCTACTATCTCGTTAACCATCTTCTAACAGTGGACCTAAAGTTGTTTTGTGAAACGTGACAAAGAAACCGAGACAAAAGAGATGTCAAAAAGCGATCTTCCCTCTTTCCTTTAAACTTACGCGTTTCATATTAAAAACGTATGAATTCATAAATATCTATTCTATAAGAAACACACATCAACATTTTTTGTTCTTGACTTTTTGTCATGATTTATGTATACAGAGATAACGTATGGAAAGAAGAATTTTACTGTTTAGAAAATTAGCTATAGATCTGAAAATAATTTTGTTGGCTCATCAAAATAATTATGTAGAAAACTAAAGCATGATGAGCAATGTAGCAAAAAATTTTGACATTCTAGCAACCAACTTGAGCATCTTGCATAACTATTTTGATGGTTGATCAATAAAATTGTTTATGATCTATATTTAGCTAAATTTTTAGATTTTTAGCGAAATACTTTCCGTATAATTTTATGCAATGATTGAAAATGAGACGTAAATAAAAAAAGAACAGATATAACAATCTCAAGAGATAACAATCTCTTAAATTATTCATATAAATACTTAATATATAGATATATTTCATAAAATTCTCTTTATGTTTTTGTTACATTATAAGTAAGTGATCATTTATAGTGTTTTTTTTTTTTTAACATATTTCTAACCTTCGCATATGCAGTACAGCCTTCGAGCCGAAAAGACAATTTCCATAGCATCGCGCGTGTAATCTTATTTATGTCAAGTCTTCAATTTGAGGGCGGAAATTGAGCGCAGACGCAGGTATACGGTTTATTTGCGCAAAGCAAACCGCGATATTCTTATTGATTTATCCTTTTCATTATTTTTTTTTTTTGTGCAGGCGATGGACGCGTGACGCCGCGGTCTGACCGCAAGCTCGTTACGTCTGTCGGAAGTATAAATCAACCGTAAAGTTATTCCGCCGTACTGTCGGGAACTCCCCGTAGGGCGCCTCGTTGGAAACTGCTACCACCTTCTTGTCCGCGATATCGTTCGCGCAGGTACGTAAGTCTGTCTCACGTGACCGCGTCATAAGCGATTTATAAAAATCGCAACGACAGGCAGTGCGGAGTTAGCGTGACGACTCTCCGTCAAACCTGTCGCTAATTTTCCACATGGAAAAAAAAAGCCCAATCTCCTCCCACTCGTTCTGCGTCTATTTTTAGCATTCTCTACTTTTCTCTCTGAGGTACCTTATTTTATTCCGAAAGAGGTGCCTCGTCAAAATGAACGGAGTCATGCAACGCTACTCTGTTTAATGGCAATTAATATGACTTATCACCACCGCGGCGCCATGGGATTTTGCGGTAATTATAATTTACGGCCACTTAGGGCGCGTATACATTGATAGTTTTAACTGTATTTTCTTTCGATTATCTCTCTCGCCCGGGTCATGTGCATGCACGCACATCGGCGCAGCGAGACACAGCAATAGCGGTGCCCTCATAACACCCTGAGAATCTAATTGTAAGGTTGCCGCGCGCGAGTGCAGGTCGCATTTTCTCGATAACAAAGACGTAAGTAATGATAATGTGGTAACGACCCCGGGGGCCGGTACTGTTACTCGCAACGGCACGCGGAGAAAAAAATTATTTCCTAACTAATACAATCACAAGAGATAAGACGTGGTTATAATAAGCCCAACATTGTACCGACGTAATACATAATTACCGATCCAGTGAGATCTGATAATCGTTACGCCGGTAATTGGCGCTGGCAGGAATAACATTTCCCCGATGGTCCCGACGTTGTTTCTCACGAGAAACATTCAAGGAGCATCTACAGTTTACGTTCGTTTGACAGAATTAACTTTGTTTTTATTCAAAGTATAGATATATCCGGCTGCTAATCCTAACGGATCTACGAAAGGCAAGCATATACGGCTGAATGTATTGCGAGCACGCGAAAGGGCGAAAACTTAGAAAAGTCGAGTTCCGAGTAAACCTGGAATCGTAGGATAATCCGAGATGATCGCCTAATAGCTTTAGGAAAGAATCGACTGGGGATGACTACTTTAAATTACCATAAGCCCCGACTCTTTCCAGTTAACGACCGGAAGAGACGAGACCCCAAAAGTGTTGAAACTAGCCGTCGGAATAAGGGGAACGACAAAAATCGATGATGATACTGTGCACCGATATTATTATGAAAGAGAAGAGTCTAATTCTATGTAATAATGTAGGGAAAACAGTAAAATCAAGAAAAAAGTTCGGTCGATCTACACAAATGGTTTATAAACATTATCTCTCAGCGATGTTCATCGTCTCAAATTTACTCGCAGCTAAGCGTTCGCGTTAAAAGAAATAATTTGGCGATGCAAATTTATACGTTTATTGCTTTTTATCGAGAATATATAGAAATTGGTAATTTTCTCTTAGCTACAAATTCTGTATTCTATATCCGAGAGAAAGCGCATGGGAGGGGGGGCATCTGATATATCCTATATACTCGTTTTAATAAATAAGTACGCGTTGACAAAGCAATGTGAGATTGGCTTTATTAATTAAATACGTTAATTAATTTATGGATAAGGGGAGAGCCGGAATAATTTCTCAGTCTAGTCGCAATCGCGGTGAACAAATATAATGCAGATCGATACACATCGTAAAGCACCGTAGACACGGCAACAAAACAACATTTCTCAGTCTCCGTCAGTCCAGAGACTCTCCTACGATTATATCAGCTATCCTTCCGTGTGCTAATAATTATCTCCCGATTTCTTCTCTAATTTAACGGCGCATATGTTACACGCGTAGCGTTCCGGTTACGCACCGCTAAAATCTAAGAGCCGCGCCTCCTTTAATTGGCCCCGAACAAGAGTGATTTACAATTGTAGGAAAAGAAAAGAAAGTATCTCGTTTCTTTCACGCTTTTCCCATTGAGATAACAAATAACGAGTATTTAATATAATATTAAACGCACACGCGTCTTAATTACGCGTCTGGCCGCCTCTTTCTCAAGCGCGACGCGGTATAACCATCGCGGAAACGTGCCAGACGAATATTTCATGAAACTCACTGACGCACGCAGATGAGATACTTATCACCGAATCAAACGAGAAATTCACTGCCTCTCCTGTAAAAAAAAGACATCCCTCTTCCCGAGTCCACCGATAGTCATAAAATGTCCAGCACCCACGTAGAAACTGGTATCACGTACCGCCGTACTAAGGCCGAATCTTTTGTGTGCTCGCGTGTGTATTATCACGTGTGCATACAGTCGCTACCACAAATAGTCCCGAGACTCTTGTGTCTCGCGTGGCCGTTCGAACCTCCAATCTCGCTTTGAATCACGAAAATATTGGATCGGCACTTGGCCGAAAACACAGCCTGCCACGGAACGTCCCGTGATCTTTACGAACTTCAATCTTTGCGAAATTGGAACAAGGCCATACTACTGCCACTAAATCTTTCTGACAGAATTCACGGCGATATTTCTAATGAGAGAGATATTGTTGTTGCAGTTCTTCCATTTCCCTATAGTCTAATTTATTCCATTACATC